TCTTCTTCATGACCAAGAAACTGAGGCACGGGAAGGGGAAAGCCAAGACCATTAAAAAAAAAAAATCCCCCAAGATTTTACGGGAAGTCAGGACTGACACTGCCTCCCAGCCGGCGTCCCTGCCTTCGCCTCTCTCTCCCTCCCAGAAGGACTCGCTATTTATAGCTCTGCTCCGCTCCGTTAGAACATAATCAAAACCATCCTCCCTCCATCCCGGAGTTCATCCAGCGGCACTGACCCTCCCCCAGGGGGGAAAAGGCTTCCCAAGATCTGCGGCTCAGCCTGTGCCTCAGAAGCTCTGCCCGTGCCCGAGCGGCGTGGTGGGCACCGTGCGGGACCCGCTCCCGCCCGGCCTCGAGTGCCGGCCACGACCCGGGCGCTGCTCGGAGCTCCCAAGGACATCGAACCGCTCAGCCCAGCCCTCTCCCCCCCCTCCCCGAGTCATTTCCTGCCTCCGTGGGGACGGCTCGAGAAAGTCCCGCGGAGCAGCGGACGACGCCCAAGGCAGGAGGATGAACTTCTTCATCGCCGCGCTCCTGGTCCTGCATTTCCTCCCAGGTAAACCCGCTCCCCGGGCTCCGCCGGCCTTCTCCGGGGGCACGCGGGTTTTATCTCGCCGCTCTGATGATTCCCACGCTCCTGGGATGCTGCGGGGCGCCTGGGGCGGGGAGGGATCCGGGAGGCTGAGAGGTGCTGGCTTGGGGAAGAGGGGGCTGCGGGGCAGAAAGAAACGGGGGCAAAGCGCGCTGGGACTGCTGGAAGTTCTGTGAGATCCCCGCTCGGAGAACGGTGGGATAACGAATGTTTCCCACATGGAGCTCAAATCATTCGTAGATTCCAGCTGGGAGCTATTAGAGACACAGATACAGAGGGGAAAGAAATCCAGCAGGATTTCCTGCAGAATTAGGTGGGCAGCGTGGGGACGGGGGGAGAGCGGATGGGGGTGCCGAGGGAGGAAACCCCCACCTGGAGCTGCTTGGGGATGAGCACAACATTCCCACGCCTCCGGGAAGGTGGGATACGGAGCAGCACCGGCTGAGGAGCTGGAAACGACAGCTCTGCCACGCCAGGAGCCTTCAGCCTCCTCCTCCTCCTCCCCAAAGGTGAGGTGTTACAAGGGGGAGGATTCCCAGCTGGGAGTTTTATTGCTTTCCTTGCAGGATATTCTTCCTAGCGTGGCTCCGGCGCAAACACAGGAGCTGACTGGGGTTAAGAACTTCCTGGGAAAGCAGGGGCTAAGGTGCCCCAGAGCCAGAGCTCGTGCCACCGGAGCGTTTTCCGAGGATGAGCGTGGGAAGGAGCGGGGGTGGGAGGGCAGGTCCCAATTTCAGCTCGAATTTCCCCAAAAGCTCGGGATGGGGGCGGGCCGGGCCGAGGTGCTGACACAGCGAGGCTGAGCCGTGCCCCCCAATCCCACCCCGGCATCTGCAGTCAGTGTTTCCAGAGGATTCCCTAATGACAATTTCGGGATCTGGGCTTCTCGCTCAGCCACCGCCGGCTCTGAGAAAGTCAAGGATATGATGGGAAGCAGTGGAAGTTTGGAGTGGGAGCTGGAGCTCCAGCCAGTCCAAGGGCATCATTCCTGCAGTCAGTTGTATAACTTGTAGTAATAATTATGACTATAAATGAGTACCAAACTATAAAAAAATCATATTATTCCATGAGTATCTTCTATGCTCCTGAGTATCTTATCTTGGTGTTGGAGTCCGTGAGAAGGAGAATATCAGCATTCCCAATTAATTTGCTTTATAAGATCCCGACAGAGCGAGACAACACACCAAACCCCATGTCTGGAAAAGGGAACGAGCCTCCTGCTCCAGCTGTGACAGCGCCACACGGGTCAGAGTCTATTTCTGGTGGCTCAGCCCCGGGGAAAGAGGAGGCTCCGCTCCGAGCCCTGGGCAGCTCCCCAGCCAAGGGGGCACTGCAGCAGCTGGGATGCAGGATCAGCAGCTCACCCCACAGGCAGATCCATCCCAGCACGGCCCTGGCTCCGGCTCCGGCTCCGGCTCCGTCCCCAGCGCTGCATCTCCCGGTGCCGACGATGATCCGCGCGTTGTCTGTTCGCTTTCAGGGAATGCGGAGGTAGAGGAAGACGAGGAGGAGATCACGCAGTTCTTGTTCGACTACGCAGCTCGTTACAGTGAGAGAAGCAGCTTTTAAGGCATTTTCACCACTTCCTGGGAGCCAGCTGGGACGAGCGGGGCTGGGAAGGCCGTGGGAGCCCCCCATTCCAGCAGGGAGATGAGGCTTTGCCTGTGGAAAGGCACCGAGAAGCCACTGAATGGAGCCCTCAGTTAACTTCATGGAATCATGGAATGGTTTGGGTGGGAGGGGTCCTCAAAGATCCACCCTCAAAGTCCCAGCTGTGGGCAGGGACACCTTCCTCGAGCCCAGGTTGCTCCAAGCCCCGTCCAGCCCGGCCTGGAGCCCTGCCAGGGATTTATCCCAGCTATCCAGAGGAATCCGAGTGACACCGGTGTTCAGAGGGGGGAAAGCCACGCCAGAACAGCCCCTGCTGCGGGGGTGGGACTCGTGTCACCCCACATGGGACAGGGCAGAGTGTCCCCAACCCCCTCCTCACCCAGAGCCGTTCCCATTCCAGGTGATTACCTCTATTCCACGGGAGATTATTACTACGACAACACCACGGGGATGCCCACCCCCTACACCTTCGAGATGGATTCCTACGAGGTGAGTTGGGTTCCTCTTGGTCTCCACCCCCACCAAAAGGGGCTTCCTCGCCCAAACCGCTGCCAGAAGGAGAAAGAAATGGGTTAAAACCCATCCCAGGTTCTCTCTTTTCCTCCACCCCCAGACGAACACCATGGGGGACTGGGGGCAGTGGTTTCCACAGGAGGATGCCACCATCCAGATTTCAGGGCTGCCAGACACGGATGCTCCAGAGGATTCCAGGAATGCCGAGAACAGTCAGGTACTCGTCAGGACACTGGCTCTGCCACGGGCTTTTAGCACATCCAAACACAGGGCTTTCTGACTGATTTATTCTCCTTGGCTCCACAGGATTTCAGGGAGTCAGCGGGATCACCCCTCCAGTGCCACCTCCCCCTGGTCACCCTCCTCAGCCTCCGGGGTCTCCTGCTATGACCCCCCCTCCACGCCCCTCCTCCCAAGGTATTCCGGGATTTCAACACAAAGTGTGTCCTCCTGCCCTGGAAAATCCAATTCTTTCTGAAGCAGCAACTTTCCAAAACAATGGAAAGATAACAAACCCCTCCGGGCATCCGGCTGCGACACCAGGGGACCCCCCCCATCCCCAGCAGCTCCAGTGGCCACTGCTGACCCATGACCCGGTGACCTCCTGGCTTTCAAGGGGAGATTCCACGGGGCGAGCACCCCTTTGGCCCACACTGGGCCTCAGCCCCAGGCACCTCCTGCTGCTCATCCACCCAAACCCTCGTTCCGTAAAATCCTGGAATGGTTCGGGTCAGGATGAACCTCGAAGGCCACCCCATCCCACCCCGTGCCAGGGGCAGGGACACCTCCCACCACCCCATCCCACCCCGTGCCAGGGGCAGGGACATCTCCCACCACCCCAAGGTTGCTCCAAGACCCGTCCCACCTGTCCCACCTTTCCCCCCACAGTGTCCCCCATCCCGCCCCACACAGGGCCATGAATGTCCTCACCTTGTCCCCTGGTTCCAGACGCAGCAGCTGGGATGGAGATCAGAGCTCCACCAGGTGTTGGCAGCCACAGATGACATCCTCCCCCCACGAGGCGCCGCCTCCGCTCCGGAACCGCCGCCGCTTTCCCAAAGGTTCCAACGGGGGGGACTCGCGGCCAGGGTGCAAACTTGGAGAGTTTTGTAATGCCTCAGTCCCTTCCTATTTCCTCTGATTCTGTTGTAAATAGGAGCCCCTGCCAATAAAACCCCCAACAACCGGCGCGTGGTCCATCGTGGTAAATAAACCCGTAACCGCCACCAGAACAGGAACAACAAACACCGACGACCCGCGCGGCTTGGCCCGTCAGAAGGATCTTCTTGAGCCTCCACGCCCAGCCAGGGGCTCCAGCTGGCAGAAAATCCCAGATTTTCCATTATGGGACTCACACACACACCAAGAGCGAGCAAACCCCCGGGATGGGGGAAAATGCGTTCGGGGTGTTATCAAAGCTCTTTTCCTTTGGAACCCCGGGCTCCCACCAGCGTCCTCTCCAGCGGTGCAGCCAGGAGCTCTCCCTCCCCCTGCCACCCTCCCAGCTGTCTCCAGAGTTCCTTTCCCAGATCTGCCCCTTTGTTCCTGCTCGGAGGGTTCCCCGGCCTGGAGCTCCATCAAACCCCCTGGATAAGCAGCTTTACCACAAAGAGGATCTTCCCTGCACTTGGGAGAACCTTTCCCGGGTATCTCCCGGCAGGAAGGGAGCAGAAGGCTCTCAGGGTCCCTCTCAGGGTGTTTCTGGGCAGCTCCTTGCCGAGCCCTCCAGGAGCCAAATCCCGCTCTCAGCACAACTCCCGCGATCCAGGCACGGTGTCCTGGGGGACCCGCAGCCCACAGGGCTGTTTTGGGGTTTCAGCCCCAAAACCCACCAGGGAAGGACACACAGACGGCCCAGGAAGAGCAATAAGGGAACGCCTCTGCTCCGACTCCCAACAAACTTTTCCAAATGCCTATTTTTCCCCTAAATGCCTGTTTTCCCCCCAACAACCTTTTCTTCCCCCCACTACAGCCCTTTTTCCCCCCTGAACTCCCAGTTTTCTCCCCACAAACTCTGTTTTTCCGCCTCAGCCTCCCTTTTTTTCCCCCAGCTCCCTATTTTTAACCCCTTCCCAAAACACCAGCCGAACTCCTTGGCTGCCTTCTCCTCCATCTGATCCTGAAACAGGAAATATTTTCTCTGCAGAACTTAAACA